GTAATGTAGTTTTGTACTACATTGTTTAATTGAGCTAGTAATATTAATTATTCAATTATTCTTTGTATTCTGATATATGTGATGATTACTCAGCTTTTTGCTGACGTGTGTGTTTGTTTGTTTGTTCTGTTACTTGTGTTTGCGACCATGTATTTTTCTTATGGTGGCCCTGAGACAATATATTTTGGAATTTGTCCTTAATGATGAGCAGTCAAGTTTGTATAAGCAGGTTAATCAAGTGATCGTAGCTAAAGGAGCTCAAGTGATCGATTAGTATGCTATAACGAGTTTATAAAGTTGTATAAATAGCTCACCTAGTTTATTGGGTTGTAATTATTGGGATTTTGTAAGGCTTAACACTTGACAGGTTGTCGAGTGTGTCGGTAATACCTCTAATTTAGGAGTATGCTTCCGCAATTTTATTCAAAGGTTGTCTATTTTTCTTTTATTTATTGTTTATTATTAATAGTAAATCGGGGGTGTTACAAGAAGAGCGAAAATTGTCACACTAGTCGTGTGAATTTGTAAATTATAATAACTCAAACTAAGCTTGCAATATATACAAAGAAACGGGAATGAAAATATATAGAAACAATGAATTTATAAATAATATATGAGGGTCACAACTCTTGTAAAACTCTTGCATCCTCTCTTAAAATGACTAGGGTTTTATATTTGTTTATAGTATGGTGTTTGTCAGCTACTTCATACAATGTACCTATAATTTTTGGTAGTAAGAGAAGTCTTTGAATTGTAACTTATTTCATTTGTGTCTTATTAAACCCTAAAAACAACCTTTTTGTAAATAAGCCCTAGATTAGAGAATAATATACTTATTAAATGTTCAATGACATTGGAAGAATATAGTAAAGTGTAATATAAAAACAAAGATAAAACTAATAAGATGAAGCCTTAATTAATAAAAAAAAAAAACAAAGATAAAATAGTAACGTGCATTAAAATAACTCCAAAGTTTGATTTGTTAACCCCAATCCTAGAGCTGTCAAAAATTGACCCAACCCGATAACCCGACCTGAACCGATAGTGATCTGAATCTGACCTGTACCCGAACAAAGGGGTGAAATTCGTGACCCGTAACCCGACCTGAACAAACCTGATGTTAACCGACAACTGATTTGATCCAATACTTTATGACCTAAATCCGAACCCACACCCGACCCGATAGTAATCGTCAACCGATTTAATCCAACTCAACAACAATCCGAACCTGAACTAGTACCCGACCCTATTAGAACCTGAAAGCGTTTATAACCCAACACAACCTGTCATTGAAGCGAGTCATGGAAGGTTTAATAAAATTTTATATACCTTTTGTTCTTTATTACTCGTATATAGGTGTAATAAAATCTTGATAATGCTTGAACAAATTATGCAGAGCGTAATTAAATAAATTAACTTGACCACATTGAATTTATTCGAATTGAACTTGAACCAAAACCAAGAATGATCCAACTTTAAGATTATCCGACCAAATAAGCTTAGCTCGAATCTGAATGTACCATCTATTAACCCGACCAAACCCGACTCAATACAACCCGAACATGAAATTAAACCCGTTATGAATTTGACTCGAATCGAACCCGACCTACACCTAAAAGGATGAACGACCTGGAATAACCTAAATCAAAATTAACCCGGCCGGAACCTGAACCTGCTCTGAGGCTAGATTAACCCGAGACCTGATTTGACCCGACCCGAACCCCACTTGAATACTTGAATTGACAGCTCTACCCGATCCTGACTAAGTATATATAAAGAACTAATAAGATGAAGCCTTAAAATTTACAACTCATCAAAGGTATATGGAAGCATTACCCAAAGTCAGTTTTCTTACAAGACAGTGAGATTCTTAAGTTAAAGATAACAAACAAATAATTGAGGATCATAATTCTTTCTAGTAACGACTTTTAATAACATCACTAGTGTGTATCTCGGGCGTTGCACCGGGTTGCTACTTTAATTATTTCTTGTGATTATATGTACTTGATATTTATAACGTCTTTTTTTAATTAGATCTTGTGATTATCAATTACATATATTAATGTTCATAATTCATATTATAACATAACTGATAATTGGTTTAGATGGTTAAATAACCATCATTCTCGTAAAAGGTTGAGTAGTGATGACATGGCATAATGAGAGATGGAGTAGGTGACGTGGCATGATCTAAGTGGCATAGAGACGTTTTTAGTAATGTTTTTTAGTATATTAGTATATAGAATTTTACATAATAATGTTTATAAAATGAAGTTTGTAGCATTTTTCATCGAGTCCAAGGGTCATTGAAAGGGAATTACACCACCATATAACTAACATCTATCTATCTATATATTATACTAAAAGACAAGCGCCTCAATGTGAGGATGACAAATGTCACTCTCTCATTGGCTTATCTTATGAATAAAATATATCTATATAATTAATGTTTACATATTCAAGCATAGTTATTTTTTGTTAAACTTCAAACAATAAAAGCAAGTTTCTATACATGCATAAGATTTTCATGATTTCCTTAACATAAGTATTGATTTTTTTTTTTTATAATAAATATATACTTTCCAATACTACAAATAATCCATAAAGTCTTTCCAATCTTTATTTAAAGTCAAGTTAAAGAATAATAACTAATTTGAAGCAATATGATTAAAGTGGTATAATTAAGGAACAAATAAATATTTTTTTTTATGAAAATTAAATAAATCGATAGAATTTAGTTTGACGTCAATTATGAAATCAATACAAACATTTTAAAAAAAATCAGATGTACAATAAAATATTGTGCACCTATTATAAAAGCTACCCTGTAATGAAGAAAGTTATTTATGCTTTATTGATAAAAGTTACCCAAAATAGTCTACAAATTATCCTAAATTCAATTCAAGTAATCGGATGAATACAAAAGTTTTTTTATAAAGATACAAAATAGTGTAAAAATTATTTTTATCGTTTGTTGTACTCCTTGACAAATACTGAATGTTGAGCCGAAATGTTGTCTTGGAAAAAAAAATACATAATCTTGAACATAAATTTAATTTTAATCGGCCTTTCATTTTCTATACAATGTCTTTTACAATGACCTTTTGTTTTTCTTGCATAAAAAAAAAAAGAACCAATAACCAATCAAAACAAGAAGAATAAAAGTTAAATTGAATTAGACATTTGACGGAAAAGGGACAAATATAAAATGTATTATAACTATTACTCGTGTTTTAAATTGTAATATTCGTAATAACAATGCTATTACTTATGAATTTAAAAATCGTGCATTGCTCATGTACTATACTAGATATACAACAATCATTTGCAATAATTTATGTTGTTTTATACATAATAATACTTTTAACTTAATAGTATGTGCATATAATATAATATTTTTATAATATAAAAAAGTATATGTATATAATATAATATTTTTATAACACGTGTCCTCCATACCAAGTGTAGTCCCAATCACCACTACACCAATTGGTTGTTGGTGTAGTAGTGACTGAGACTACACTAGGTAGGGAGGACTTGTGTTCGCCCCCCTGCAATAACAATCGGAAGGGGAGTGGAACCTAATAATCTAGAACTGATCCTCAAATCTGGATTAGCCCAAAGGGTGAACCGGGTAGAACACCCAAAACTCAATGCATATATGACGGGAATTAACTTATCCTTTATCTATCTTATACAAAACTCCAAAGTGTAATTTTTTTTTCCAAATATGATAATAACATTTGTAAATTTATGTTTATATGAAAGATATAAACCTATCAAAATGTATATATAGTTAAATTGTTTAATAACTTATATCGAATGCGTAGTTTTATTAAAATTATTTGCATGTAATCATTAAATGTGTTGGATGTTGTGTAGCTATGCAATGTCCAAAACTTTAGTTGAGCGACTTTGATTTAGTGATTGTACGGTAAAAAGATATAGACTTCGATCTTGAAACCTAATAGTCTAATAAATTCTAAATAGAAAAATTAAAACAAAAGGAAATGAAAATAGTAAATGGGTTTAAATATTGAAATAAACATAACCTTTTAAATCAATTTAGCTAATTCAAGAGACAATTTTAAGGCATTTAAAATTAAATGGGGGAAAATATATGTAAAAAGAACAATTTTAGATATATAAATGTCCATGCACTATTATAAGAGTTTTGTTAACCTTTTTATAATTAATGTAGGGATAAATCTTAGTAATATATAATCCGTATATTTTATTTATATAAAATTATCAGTATACATACCTATATACGAAGTATTTGTGTCGTATACTATATTTAATCAGCTGTTGGTTATATATATGACTATTATATAATATATAATTTTTGGCACAATGCTTAACTTAGGAAAATATATGTTCTGGTAGGTCAAATATAGGGTTATTATTGTGTCTATAGATTTAATGAGTGCGACGGGTAAATAAAACATGTATATATTAGATTGATTGTAGGCTTGTAGCTACTGATGCGGATGGTATGATAAGAAAATTTTAGTTTTTTCTCAACGGGAGATATAAATAAATTAGCCCACTTCTTATATAGCTATGTGGAGTATTATTCAATTATTTTCCAATTAATAAAATAAAATTATAAAAAATTAAAAGAAATTCAAATAACATAAAATACTATTCAAATAACGTTCCTTTAATTTTTTTTTTATTGACCATTAGTACAAGTCCTTTAATAGTAAATGAATTACCTTTGTTTTATTTTTTATTTTTCCTACGGGTTTAAAAATTTGATTTATAAACCGTGCATCGCACAGGCACTATGCTAGTATAAAGCTAAATTTTTAGCTAGGTCACGAAGCAGCAACACTTGGCATTCTAACTTTTCGCCAAGTATCGCGCCACGTTAGATAGATTTAAATAGATTTCATAAGATAAAAAAAAGTTAGTTTAGAATTCTATTTTAGTATAAAATTGTTAATTTAGAGTTTCATTTTCAATAAAATAAAATTTGAGTGTCGTGCCACGTTGGATAGATTTAAATCGACTTCATAAACAACCCGGGAATCGCACGGGGCAATTATTTATAATAAATTATTAAAAAAAAAAATCCTCTATTTACCCCTCTTCTAAAACCACCTAAGTGGCAATTAAACAAAATTGACCGAGTACCGGTTATATGAAAAGAGTCTTCTTTTCAGATTTGTCAAGAATCAATGCCTGAAGAAGAATATCCAGCACCTTTAATTGAAAGGTAAGGTCCTTTAAAGATATTTCGATTAGCCAAATGAGAGTCGAGGAACAAAACTACTACTGTAATGTCATCATGGAAATGTCTTCGAACTCCTCGATCAATCTTCTTAAGATCTGAATATCTCATTTCTCTTTTTTTTGCAGCCTCACAAAGTGCAGCTTTCACAAGCTTCTTTGCAATTCCCTATCACACAATAAACTCTGTTAGTACATTCTTTGTTAAGGGAAAATAAAACAAATAAATAAAGTCTTAATTCAGTATTAGCAATTCAATAAAAAGATGTTCATTCTCAATCATTTCTCACTCTCAAGAACTAAATAAGAGTAAAAGACAAACTAAAAAACTAAGAATTTTTTATACATATATTTTTATCCCCTATAAGGGTAAGAGGCAAGATAGGGAAGAATGAAAATTTTTCCTACTTCATGATTATAACTATGAAATTGAGCTAGAGTTCTTCCTATAAACTTTTTAAATTTTGGTTACAACATTATCGTGAAAAATGATCATGCTAGAAAAATAAAAATGACATACATGTCGGGAACTTGTTTTCACAATGTCAACAGCTTCTTGGTTGCTAAGGTGCTCCCATAAGCCATCCGAAGCAAAGATAAGAAATTGATCTTCGGGAATAATCTTTTGTACTGATATTGATGGTTCAGCTGTCATGATTGGCCTATCAAAAGGCTCACGCAATCTAAACTTTGCTAATAGAGGTGATGTATTAAACTCAGTCTTCTTTAGATAAGCATCACCAATAGATCTTGAAACCTGTATAATAATAAACAATTATTTAATAGATCGAATCTAAATACACAAGCTTATCCAACTCTTCCAATTGGGTTGTCATTTTAGAAAACACTTCCCCCCTCAATCAATCACATTGATTATATAACTATGTTTTTGGGAACTTCTAGAAATTTATGTCATGTCATGCCATTAACAAGAAATTTAGGTAATGTATGTATGATCAATATCAGGGGAAATGGTCTCATTACTAGCCTTGCTTAGCTTCCCTAAAACCTCAATTCCAACTTCAAAATTCGAAATAAAGCGAGCTATGGTCACAAAGAAACTTTCAAATTGCTACTACCTAGATATGAAGAGTCAATGTATTCTTTATAGAGCAAACAAAATTCGCACATGACCATGCCTCATATTCCTAACATCCCAAATTCATCTTCACATTGGTGATTGACATGGAGTTCAAGAATAATATAAAGAGAGAATATTAAAATTGAAATTGGAATAAGAAAAAAAAAAGTAACATAAAGTTTTAGGAAAGAAAGAGGAAAAGATATATGGGATGAATTTCCTAAAATAGATAAAATGAAGAAAATTGTTGGATTCCCCAATCAAAACTGTGAATATAAATCAATATAGAAGAACTACATGTATACAAAATATGAAATTCAAATTTAGCTAGTTATTATTAAGGTTTTAGCGTCTAGGTCTACTCTTTATTTCATATGCAATTTCCTTCCTTGTTTAGGCACATTCTGTTGACACATGGATGTTAGTATACAACTTACATCTTCTACAAGGACAAAAAAATAAAAAATAAAAAAAATAAAAAAATAAAAAAATAAATTGATGATTTAGGAAAAGAATTTTTATTTTACCTGTATAAGACCCTTTACACGCCAAACTTTGTGCTTTAAAACAACAATATGTGGATCGTCGGGATGCTTCAACCGCAACTCTTCTCTTACAGATTCATAACTTGCATTATGCTCAGAAGATAACTGGATAGCTTTCACAGTTTTATCCAAGTTATCTAGCTTTCCTAGGACAACACGTGAATCACCAGCATTTGCAGTGTAAAGATATCCATTACATATTACACCAACTAAACAACAAGCACCTACAGAAGCAATCTGTGGCTTTTCGAGCCATAGTTTCTTCACTAAAGAGAGAAACTCCTCTTCCGTGGCCATAAATGCTTTCATGATAACATCAGCAGACATACCTTGACTATGGGAAGTGAACTCTGCACCAAGAATAGCTGGAAAAAGTCAGTAAATCAAGGCATTAGCAAACCAAAAGACAAAACATTAAGGAAGCACTAAATCAAGCTAAGCTAAAATAATGTTTTATGGTCATACATCAAATTGGAAAGCATAATGAGGTAAGGTTTGTGAAAAGCCATACTCTTGATGTTCTTGAAGAGATTATTGCAGACAAATCTAGCTGTTTCTGGACCTCCATGACCATCATAGACACCGACAAATGTCCCATGAGGTCCATTATCAAGTGATCCCATGGGACCTGACTCAATTTGACTATGATCCTCTAATAAACTATTTGCTTGAACAACGGCCATAGAAAATTCACCATTTGCATGGTTCCCAAAATCTTTATGCCATAAAAGTCCGTCGAACCGACCATTAGAGTCTTTACTAGAACTCTCTCCTTCACCAGAAGGCTTCCAACAAGGGTAAACAATCCTCATAAGTCCTGCGGTGACCATGTCTTACATATCTCAACCAAATGATCCTGCTATTGATCTATACATAGAACCAAAACCAGTGATAATATAAAACCCTAGACTCAGTAATTGTGTTTCTCCAATATTTAGACCTCGAACATAATGTCGAGAACTTAAAAGCAAATTGAGATCTTCAAACACCATATATCTGTATATAAATTAATACATTAAATAAATTAATAGATGTACAAAGACAAGATTAGAACTTTTCAAACATATAACCATCCTTTTCATTCAAGATTATCATTACTCATCATGGCATGTTCTTGATAATAAAACATGCTGCTATAATCCTCAATAAGAGCCATAAACTACTAGGATTCATATGAAAAAGACGTTTTGTTAATTAAAACCTAATCCCACTTATTTTTATCTAGTAGACAGGTCTTCAAAATAGAATGTAAATTTTGAATAAGCTATTGAAAGAGGATGCAATGTGCATTATGTATAAGCTACTAAATGAAGGAATGTTACCACAAGCGAAACTCCTTATGTTCCATAGTATGCCATACAGTTGAAGAGCATATATCCCAATTGATCAACTCAATTATAAATTTAAAGTCTTAGTTAGGCATCACATTTAGCTAGATCTTAACCAAGAAAACAATATGCTATTACTAAAAATGTCATTCATATCTTAGCATAATGAATAATGATGAGTACATATTACACTCAATTTTTTTTTTTTTTTTTTTTTTTTTTGAGGAAAACATATTACACTCAATTAATGTATTCTTTCTTATGTTCAAGGTTGTAGCATAATAATATAGACTTCCATAATTTACAATATTTCAGAACAATTACTACGTAAGAAAATACAAGTTCATCTTGATGATAAACAAAATTTGTTTATCTGATGACATTTCCGTAAATAAATCAGAAAAAAAATCTCAGTCAGCATGGCATTCTCGTAAATACATCGAGATAATTGACAATTACAAAACTATAATATATTTAGGCAGTGTTTTCAATACTTTTGCGATGCAACAACCTTTAATAGAACAACATTTCAATAATTTGTAACACTACAAAAAACAAAAAAAAAAAAAAAAAAATACATGAACAGATAATCTTGACATAACTACGTTTTTATAATAGCTAGAAGATCAATCTAAGAAATATCGTACTATACGATCATGGGATTTATAATTAATACAAGGATAACTAAAATTGAAATTTGAATTGTATTAATTTTTTAATGAACCTGCACTAAAGATTCTTCAAAGAAAATCTACAAATTATAAATATGGTTATAAAACAAAATGAATAAAAATAAAAAACATCAATGTCATATGTAATTGTCAATTATCTCGATGTATTTGTAATTTAAAAATTCACATCAAATAGTAACCAAAATAAATAAAAATAATAACCATGACAAAAGTGATGCAGTCTCACATGCTATTATAATTCAATCAAAATCAAATTCGAGAAATCCAAGAGAATAATACAACAATCAATCAACAAAGAAATAAAAAAGGACAATCAAAATACATACAGGAAAAATGACCAAGGATTGAAAGATTATTTGAAACATACCTTAAAAATTATACAAAAAAAAGATTGAATTGATATAAACCAAAACCCTTTTTTGTTTGATCTGCCAACTTGATTATCACCCAAAACAATGAAATTCCGCTCTAATTATATAAGTTGATTGTTAAAATAAGTAAAAATTTGTTATAAAAACAGGTAATTAGAGAGAGAAAGAAAGGAGGAAAAGAAAGAAAGAGGGAAGACGTGAGGATAGAGAAAGGTCTTGATTTTTGGTGTTTAAAAGTAAAATGATTTAATTAGAGTATTTTTTTAATTTTGGAAAGTTTTAATTTAGTAGAAATATTTTATTTAATAGAAAAATATTTTTTTTTTTTTTTTTTGAAAAAAATAGAAATATATTTGGAAGTCAATAAATAATTGGGAAATATAAGGGGGGTATAAATTTGACTTTGACCAATTAAAGAACAATAAGATAGGCAACTTTTGCTCGGTCTAATTTTCTTCTTTTATAGCAAAACCAACTGAACATGTGCTCAATTTCTCTCTCCTCCTTTCTCTCTCCAAAACCCTAACCTCCATTGTTGAATTTTGAAGGGGCATCCATCGATTTTAATCGGTGGAAAGCCCCAATCATTGTTTTTTTATTGTTTTTTTAGGTTTATAATAATACTTTCTCCTTTTGGGAGGAACTTTTCTCCCTCGAAAGAAAGGGTTTCCGATCTCCTTCGAAAGACAAGGGTTTTTCGACCTCCTTCGAAAGACAAGGTTTATCTCCTCTTTTCGAGGGAGAAATTTCTTAGTTTTGAATCCATGGTAGCAGATCTAATGGATTGTCGTGAAATTATTTCGTTGGTGAAAAAGTTATCAAGTTTTCGAATACGAACAGATGAATCAGAAGGAAATCATCCTCACGGCTACAAAGGATCGTTAGATTGTCTCTCCAACAAGGCTGTAATTTTCAGCGATATAAGCGGGAGATGCTCCGCAGGGCAAGATCTACTCGACGATCGTAGTTTTTATGAAGGAAAATTTTATTTGATTCAATATCTTATGTATTTGTTAACGTCGAATCTCTATTGTAGATGTCGTATGACTTTTAATTAATGAAATATTTTTGCTATTCAAAAAAAAAACTGAACATGTGCTCACTTTTTATAAGCTTTCACAAGCATTGTAAAATGTCCAAATTTTGAAAATTTAGATATTTGTACCTTTTTTTATAAATCGAAGATTTTGTATGAGATTTTTGGGAGGTTTTGATATATTATATATGTGTATTTGAATACTTCGAATATATATTTATACAATATTATCTTTTTAGGAAATTAACAAAATCATCAATACTTATTACTCCCTCCGTTTCACTTTGTTAGTCCCCTTTGGAATCAATCACTTAAAATAAGAAAAGAAGGAATCTTAGTAATTTGGAATTTGATTGCAGTTTTGTAATTAATGTTTTGTTTTTTCTTGTTTTATTTATGGTTGTAGGCTATAATTAATCGCCTATAATAAATTTTGATTGAAAAATTTGTCATGTCAGCAATCCACTAGCACATACATTAACCAATCAAAATTATTTGATTCTTTAAACACCCAATTAGATTAATTATTCACGGATTATGAAAATTATTCACCTTATAATAATGTTAGGAAATATTCAATATAGTTGCAACTATTTCCGGTCCAATTACTTGCAACTTTATTGGTTGCAACTAAATTGGACCGGAGGTAGTATTTCATTTATAACTTGATTTTTTTGGAATTAATTGGTTGTGGATTGATGACATGACTCCAAGTAAGGAAATTTTACCTTAAATTATGCAATTATGACTTGTGCTTTCCTAATAAATAATAAAAAAAAGTTAAATATGGTATATTAATTATGAATTATGTTGTAGTTTTTTTTTTTTTTTTTTTTTTGAGGAAATTATGTTGTAGTTTAATGTTAGATTCCAAATATATTTCTTTTCTTATTTTATGTGATTGATTTCATATGGGATTAACATTATGAAACGGAGAGAGTATATATTAAAGTAATCAGTAGGAATATTCTAGAATTACACGTGTCACGTTTACATTAAAAAAATTTCCCGCCAATTTTTTTTTTAATTGATGAAAAAAAACTTTTAAAAAAAAAAAATATATAGCCTAAATAATAGAACAATAACAACAAATTTAAATAAATAAAATATTCAAAATATATCAATCTATAAACAAATACAAACTTATAATAATATATAAATATAATTTTTTTCATGTGAATATCCGAGCATTGCTCGGACAAAGAACTAGTTTATAATATATTAAGTAAATCAAAATTAGATGTGATAGGAAGATTTATTCAACAAAATGATAGCTAGGAAGATTTATCAATTAATGTGGAAAATTTTAGTAAATACCAAATATAGTCTCTTTAGACTCTTTACTCACAGTACGAGATTACTTTTTATTTCTTCAATTTTCTCTTTACTTTTTTTTTGTTCTTAAACATAACTCTATTATTCAAGCCAAGTGTAAATATAATAGTGTCAACATGAAATACAATGTCAAAATTAATTAAATAACAGATTAGTTTAAAATTTATGTACTCCTCCGTGCTTTTTTAAGTGTTACACTTTTCATCTCCGGCTGTGTTTTTTTTAAGTGTTACACTTTCTTTTTTGGCAAAAATCTACATTAAAATATTATATCTCTCTCCTCTCATGGTCCCCATCCAAACCCACAACTACTTTTTTATTATATCTTTCCTCTAACATTCATTACTTTTCAATAAACTATTAACCTCACTATCTTTCTTTTACAATTTTTAAATACTCCAACTACCCCACTTACTTCTTATTTTATTTAAGTCAATTAAATTGCCTAAAACTATGTGCCGGTCAAACTATAACACTTAAAAAAACGAAGGGAGTAACTTAATTGTATTGATTTTTCTCCCATTTTCTTGATATTTATACAATTGTATTACTTGAAATTTATACAAGATTAATTTAAAAATTATTGCATACTATTAAGATGTATGGAACTATTGGAGAGAGATTATATTTTTTTTTAGTAACCCTAGACCGACTAGTTTTTTCAAACAACCTATGTTGTTTTGAAAATTCTAGGCGGATCACCCTAGGGTGGTTGAAATTTATAGGCGGCTAGTATTTTTTTTAATTAACGTGCATCATTATTTATTATTATTATTATTATTATTATTTCAAAAAAATTATTATTATTATTATTATTATAAAATTAACAAAAAAACCTACTAAGTTAATCAATTTACAAGAAATTGGTGGGAAGCCAAGATACAATCTAGGCTCTTACCCCTCTAGCTATAGCGAACCCGATCCTGTTGAAGATGTGAGCAGCTGCACGAACACCAATATCCTGAGTCTTAGCGAACGCATGATGCCGTTTCAGCAACGTAATAGCATCCTTATCTAATTCCCCTAACGAAGAAAAGAAGAAAGGAAGAAAACCATAGCCAATAGCCCTGCAACGTGCCCCATACTTGTCCTGCTTCCGTTGAGCCGCCGTCGACACAACACGACCTGGAATGTAGTCAGATAACCCCGATTGTGTCAAATAACTATAAGTTTGTATTTGTTTTATATGTTTTGTATAAATTCAATTATTCAAATATCTATTTATTTTATCAGATTATTATTGACGAGACATGTTAGGGCCTGTTTGTATTTACTGAACTGAGCTGAACTGAAATGAACTGATTGGATCTGGACTGAACTGAATACTTTATGAGAGAGGGAAATTATGAGCTGAACTGAACTGATTGGAGCTGAACTGAACTGAACTGATTAGAGCTGAACTGAATTGAACAGAACTAAAATTAAGTAAATGTAAACAAGCTCTTAATATAGATTATCTCTATTTTGTTGATTGTTGTCAAATTATAAATTAAAATTTAAAATTCCTTTTTTAGTAGGAAACTAGATTAGACCCGTGCGATCATAAAAACATATCTTCATCATAAATTACTAAGGAACAAAATATAAAAATGAAAGCCAATCTGATCTAATTAAACTATATGCATACTTATAAATTAGTTCATTTTTGTATAACTGTAACAGTAAAACCTTAAAAAAAAAATTAAAACAAACGTCGTAGCTTAGTTACTTAAAATATTTTAGCTCAATATCAATTTATTTATTCCAACAAAAAAAAAAACTATTTATTCATTAATGACACAGTACAAAGATTGAAATAAAAATGATTAAAATAACCAATTCCTAAAAAAAAAACCAAAAAATAAATATGACATCATAAGTGCATTAGGCGGGAATTTTATTTATGAAAGAGCGACACGTATATAGTTTGAGAAGAGGATGATGTCAACAATTTTTTATTTTAGTAATAGTCAATAGATAAACAACTCATTTTATAGATTAACAAATGAAGATTCAAGGGATTATAGAAGATTTTATAATCTTGATATAATTAAACTTTTTTAGTTTGGCGATTTTCTATTTGCAATAAAAAATTTCAGTTGAATTGATATAGAAATTTGAAGGGTAAAAATCACTAATTTATTATGAGTCTACGTTGTTCATTATTTTTAATTAGTTATCTAACTTTTTATTTATTTATAAAGCAAAGAAAAAATGTTTTATTTATTTAAAGTTGTTGTTAATGTTCGATATTTTGGGGTTGTTTAGGCCGTTGATTTTTATTTAAAAAATTAAAAAAAATTCAACTTAAGGAAAAAATAAACGCGACAGGTGTACTTTTGCAATAATTTGTAAATACTCCCTCCATCTCATAATATAATTCTTGTTTTCCTATTTTAGAGATCCAAAATATTGTTCCTGTTTTCATTTTTGGATAGTATGTAAACTTTTGTTCCTATGTAAACTCTATTATAACCTCACCTTTTTTTTTTTTTAAACTTTATTCATTGTATTTCCTAATTTATCCTTGAATTTTGCACATGCTTTATATGGAGTATTATTTTTCACTTTGTCACTTTTATTAATGTAATGCAATCACTTTCTCCTTCTGTTTCTTAATTGTCGTGAAAAAAA